TAGGGTGTTGTAGAGGTTCGGTCGTACAACAACAACACCGATGAAAAATGCTAGGAATATGCATTAGGATCATTATATTTACAAGGAGATATTGGGTAATCATTAGTCTGAATAAAATGCCTATATTCGTAGCAAGTAAGTGGAAGATCAATTGGGGGCGAAGATTACCACTTTAAAGAACATTTGGTGTCTCAAAGTGTAAATTCTGAAGCAATGGTAACTATTTCCTAGATAATCTACCAATCAAGTAGATCTGCTAGAGGTGAAATCTGGCTGTTGTGTAGTACTCTAACGTGTCATATCCTTGCTGTAATAAACATTATTGCATCCTTTGATTATTATGCAATTCTCATTTGTATTGCTGACGCCTACACAATGTCGTGAGAGGCTTGTCATCTGTAAATTCAGCTGAAAATCCCTTGTTGAAATTTGGTAGGTTTTCACTAACGGTGTTATATATGGCCCAGTAATAATGGAGTTCAATTGTGACTCAAAACAGATTATGTTGATAAGTATAGCATGTTTCAAAATGATGTGTAGAACGTTTGATCGAACTCTCTTGCTTGGAAAGCTTTCACAGCAATATAATCACCATTTTGAAGCGCAGTTTTCCTTTCATTTTGTGCCGACTTTGTCGGCACCTTCCTTGCAACTTATCATTAACTCTCCCAAGCACCGTAAAGGTCATGCCATAAGCATGACCTGCTGTGATATTAGTAAATTATTGCCCAGATTTTTGTGATACTACTTCACCACGCCTTCCTCAGCATTCTACCACTGCACGAATGGGTGCATGTCGTCTGTTCAATAAAGCTCTAATAGCTTAGTGTTCTATTAACACATCGGGAGCTACCATACAGGAGTATTCCACAACAGGCGCCATTCATCCGCCTAAGGCTACAATGAAGTCTACAACCACCACATGCATGGTGCATCGGCTAATTACGTAACACCGATAAACGCTTCGCTTCACCGCGACTGCACAAAGGTTAGCTATTCTAACCTGGGAGACGGTCAAGAGGCGCGATTTCTCTAGCTGTCACCAACTAAAACCCAAGTTTAGGGCTATGCAAGTCTTCAAAAAGCACCAGACAAAGTACATTGCTTACTAGTTATCTAAAGTTACCACTTGCTGAGTTTGAAGGCTTTTGTTGAAAATCCGGCCATAAATACAAAATTGCTATTAATTGCATTTTCATGAGTTTTTGACCTTCAACATTTTCATTTCAAATTGCTTCTAAAACAGTAAGACTGGACAACTGCTGCAACACACTAATATATCTCCCCTGAAACTCTAAGATACTTCCAGAGCCTTATAAGACACTAAATATGTGCTATTTGCTGTCTAGGTGGCAATAAAAATCGCGCCTCTTGACATACACCCTTGGGACCTAGCGCCCAAAATTCGCTGCCTCGCACCTAGCGACAGCCATTCTAATCCGCATCAGGGACTAAATCTCCCAATTTTTGCTCAGAATTACCAAACGGCTCAAAAAGCAGCCATATCTTCTTAACAATTTTTGAACATCAAAATGTCTGTCTAATTTTTCAAAAAGGCAATCTCACTTCACTCAAGAGCATTGGCCAATCTGCTCAAAAAATTTGACTCCTGTAACTTCAAACTCAAACTCACTTCAGAAATTGATAGAGAGCCTCAAAGGAGATGTTTCGAAAACTAGATATTCTCCTTTCTTGCTTACCACAAGTTAAAGCAAGAACGACAATTTTGGAGTCAATAGTCGACCAATTGGGAGAATTCTATCTCAAGCAGTCTAAAAGCGAGAGAAAAAATGTCATACTCCAGCTAGAAGAGCTTAAAAAGGAGCTTGATTTTTACCAGTTGCTTTCTGATGCTAGTATTTTTGCTATCGCTGTAGACTATCAGATAGTATATGCAAAAACAGATATAAAATCTCGCTACACATAGTGCTCTTGTTGTGCCGAGAGAGATAAAATTTACTCGAACAAGTAGCTACCCTCTTATGCCCGGTAATTTGCGAAAAAACGTTACAGTCATTATTTTGTCAAAAAATTGTTCTCAGAAAAAGGATAAGGATCACATTCACTCGACTAATCCCTTATTTTTCTGCCACCATATGTTCTTCAAAAGCGCGAGAACTACACTCCGATGATGTCTTCCTTGTCCCCAAGTTCTCTTACTAAATGAAGTTAGAATTTTTTTTCCAGTGGTGTAAATATACACCAATTCCAGTGCTATCGTCGTTCTCAATCATTACGTTACAGGCATCCTATTACTTCCTGGATATTTATAGAAATGTCACATTTTACAAGATGCCTCACAGGTCATTCATTACAAAGTACACTATCTGATCCCATTAGTCATACATATCCCGAAGCTAAAGTGACTGACTTCTTACTCCAAGATCATCATCTTCCTTAATCTTCTTTGATTAATAAAACGCTGTCCTTCTTCCTCCACGTCTTTCCAAGTCAAAAAATTGTCAAAAACTTCTGATTTCCTGTGGCGCAAGCATTTTAATCAAGAGTGCATGCCAGCCAAGTCTGCAATGATCTATAATTTTTTCCTTTACACCATATAGCTATCGTAACCCTCACTTCGATGTCAGAATCTGACAGAACAGCAGCTGCCTTTGTAGCTTACCTCATACCCTACATCATGGCAGAGTATAATTTTTCATATGAGAGGAAAGCTGTTAAAAAGTTGCAAACCTTATCTTCAATTAATGCACTCCAAAAGTATTCAAAAATGCAAAAAGATAACCAAATAGGAGCATGTGTTTGTTTTTAAAATGTAGAAGGTCACAAATCAATAAAATTGCAAGTAACGGCGAACTTGTAATATTTCGGCCAATTTTTCAGCAAGCCGTAAAGCTCAGCAAGCGGTAGCCTTGATTAGCTAGTAAGCCAAAGCACTTTGTCTGGTAGTGTTGAGGACACATGTAGTGTTGAACTAGAGCTTTGAGTTATGACCGCGGAGAATCGTACCTCTTGTTCGTCTCTGCTTGACCAGGGACGCCACGGGCCGCTGTAAGTGGGTAGGAGCAGATACATTGAAAGTGTAGTGTTGGATAATCACCAGTAAATGCGAAAACTGTGAGGAAATCAAGAGATTTCTGCTCGAAATGATGTTTAGTTATAGAAAGTGTCGACGTTGTTTCTACCAGCGAGCCACTGCTTACTCACACGTTCGTATAGGGCATTCGAAAAATCGTGACGATGGCGCGACCGCACGCGACACCCACGCACTCCCATTTCTTGGTTTCTGTCTCCACTCAAATGGTTTTTCTGCTTACATATGATAGTATTCAGACACTGGAAGTGACTGAGCTGAGCGCTGAAGCAATGCCTGTTCTTATGGGTGTTTTATGCTCCTGTTGCGCAAAGACCGCAGTCACACTCGTCGTCACGATTTCAAAAATGAACCATACATAACTTCCCGAGATCGCATTTTATGCAGTGTAAATGCCTACCACAGTGAGATCTTCATTATGGGCAACGACAATTGTGGGATATCAAAAATTTTCTGCTCGAAATGATACGTGGTTTCGAAAGACATCGGCGTTATTAGGGAGACCATTGTTTGCTCAGATGTTCTTCCTCTGGGAAAAAGGCATTTTCTGCAGTGTGAATGTTGTGAATTTCCAGCAAAATCACGAAAATTGTGGAAGACATTTTTGCTCAAAATGCCGCTTAGCTCATCAAATCGTCACTTTTTTTGGGAGGGAGGGGAGTCGAAGGCAGCGGCCCGGCTGAATTTCGTTTTCCAGTTCTTCACCTTTTCGGAGCCTTCTCGTCATAAACCCGTATCTGGGCTTTTCAGCGAATGAAAATGGCATAAATGCGCTTTTTCCGAAGCTTTTCAGGTCACCCTTTGGTGCAGAAGTGGGCGGGCCCCGTAACGCGGCTTTTTCCGGCGTACCTTCACTGAATGCGGACTTAAAAAGCTTCAGAAAAAGCGCATTTTTGCCATTTCCATCGCTGAAAAGCCCATATATAGGTTTCTCATAGCGAGAAGGCTCCGAAAAGGTGAAGCTGGAGAACGAAATTCTGCCGGGCCGCTCCCTAGGTGTATCGTCGATTCGTTGACCCCAAGGACTGCTCAAACGCTGCGGCCACGCGCAGTGCGGTTGAATTGTCGCGAGAGCACGACTTGTACAGTGGCGAATTTGTACTGGGGCAAGCGTTTTACCTCGCGGCGCGTATTCCGCAGCGATGTCCAGTCCGTGCGGTCAACGAATCAACTATACCTATTCTAACGGCGGGAGCGGTACACCGTCGCAACCGTGTATAAATTATGTCTACGGTAATTTCGAAGCACATTTGGCATTGCCGTCGTGCCAAATATCACTCCACAATTTTGGGACTCATTACGCTCACTGCCTGCGCATCTCTCTTACATTACTAGCCTCGATTTCGCTTACATTAATCTACGAAGCATATAAAATCTCTCGCGTCAAATGGTCGATTTTCTTTAGGCAGGTGCTTTCGGGGTAAGGACGAAGTGAACAAGCTGTCTAACCAAATGTTTCCAATTCAAGCATATTGGATGTTCTACTTCCAATCTGGTCCGAATAAAAAGTAGCAAATTTTCATTAACTTTTTGAAAGGATATATCACTGTTGGAAGGGGATTCAGCCACCAGAAACCAACCACAATTAAAACCACTAGAAATTGCAAATTTCAAACACGTAGCCAACACGTTCTTAACGATTATCAGAACTCGTAAAGAAGCAAAACTCAAACTATACAAAATATAAGCAGTCGCTCAAGGAATGCCCTTATGTGCCGAACAATCTGATCAAAAACAGTTGTTCAGAGGTACATGATATAAAGTTCAAATAACTTAAACCCTCAATGACTCATACTTAATGACCAAATAGAAGCTTAGAGTACGACAAAGTAGCTAGGAAGAGAACAAAGCACCAGATACGATGGTAGAAAATGGCACCTGCCAAAAAAACAGCAAATCCAGCTCAAATCCATTAATGAGGGGTCTTTGATGTAGAGATACGGTAGTGTTATGCATCCTCATTGAGAAGGCTATCTCGGTCACTTTCGACGAGGTCAGCACCACATATCGAAAAACAGCATCTAAATAAAAATCGTTGAGAAGCTGATAAGAATACTCTCAAATTCATTTCAAAGAACTGGCTTTCTATCCAAGCAAAAGACGTACTAACCTGGTAAACGGTGACTCGCCCATGTTTGGAAGCACTTTCTGTCTAAACCATGGCCCAATTAAGATGTCGTTGTAAACGAACATACCAAGGATGAGAAGTGCGAAGCCGAGGAGCTGAAAGACAAAAAATGTAAGAACGCTCTCACAGCTTTGGGAAAAGTGATCTCACCTGAGCCGGGATAAACAATTCGCCAAAGAATGGTATACTAAACATCCAGATTACTAGTGTTCTCACACTATCCAGTACCATTCGGGTGGTTGCGGAAAGTTCTTTCGTCACCGAAACACCAGCAAAGTTAAAGAATGCAATGCTGAAATGTAAAAATAAGAAGTTGAATGAATCCTAAAAAGAACCAACCTGACGATGGTTCCTCCTAAAGCCACAGCAATCCATGGTTGCTCACAAATCTCCTTCCATGCAAAAAAGACGTCCTTCAAAAAAAAAGTGGACATGACGCTATCGATCAAAAGCCAAAGCCCTTACCTCAAGACGACCCTCCGGATTGGTGGAAAACGTGTGAGGTACATGAATATAATACATTGGAACCATTAACACAGACAAAATCGTCATGCCAAAGAGTCCTGAAGAGTATCCAGATTACCGTGAATAACTACGCAACGCTTTTGTACAAGTCTCGCACAGAATTACGTTGCAGAAGTTGGCCGAATAAGCACACAAACTAGCAAACCTTCAAGTCCAACGGCAAAAAGAGCTGGCACATCATATTGGTTCAGATATTTCTGCTCGTAAACCATCTGGATGGCCACAATTATTTGTGCCATTATAATGAGGAGATTTCCTGAAGATTATGGAGACTCTGACAACGGTTCAAAACTACCCATTTACTCTCCAACATAATTTCTTACCGGTAATGATGGCGTTCTTATCATCGAGTGGATCGTCGTCATACATGATATCGGTCACTCCAACAACTACCAGACCGAGTATGACGAGGATCATTCCAATCCACTTGTATCCCTGAATCCGTGCTCCAAGCATTCCAACGGATAACAGTCCAGTGAAAACGATGACAGCTCCTGAACATTTGTCATGTTCAGGGCAATTGGGAAAAGTGACGCAAATTTACCTCTGAGCATCTGGAAACTGCTGGCCGTGGTGAGATTCAAACCGATATACATGATGGATGTTGCAAGAATGTCACAGCAGGCAGGTGGCAGGAATACCAGCGGATTGAACTGGGGTAACTGGGGTTCGCTATCCGATGTTATGTCGGTGATAGAACCACCTACTCCTGAAGCCAATGAAAAGCGAAGTAGAATGAAATAACTAGGTTCACATTTCAAGTCAACAACTTCAAGACGTTATGAGAAACACCGCAAAAATTTGATTGAGTACCACATGGTAGGCAACTGAACCCATTCTAAGCTCCAGGTCCGTTCCAGATTCGGTCTGTCTGATCGATAAGGCCAAATTTATCCCCATTGATAGATGCCCTACTATCACATTATTTCCCCTGTATTTGAATTTCGTAACAATTATTATCTTTATCTGCATAAGGCCTCGGGCAGAGTTCACGCGATTTGATCGTCGCAATTCAATCGCTACAAGACAAATGTTACGAGTTCATTGCATGCCGATCTTCTTGTATTCGGTTGTGATAGTTAGTCACGAATAGTCATGTTGGAAAACTCTCACAACCGAAATGCAAGAAGATCGGCATGGAATGATATTGTTACAGTTGTCTTGTCGCGATCAATCGCGACGATCAGATAGCGTAAACTCTGCACGAGGCCTAAGAGAGCCGAACTGAACCCATATCGGATCACACAGGACCAGTACAGCCGCAGTCCATAGTCGCTAGGTATCACATTCAGCCCTGTCAAAATACATCGCGACTACATCAAACACTGCATTGTTCGTAAAATTGCCCCTACTCCAATCTCTTTTACGAACAATCGCAAAAGAAAAATATTTGCATTATTTCTGCGCAAAGAAACAAAGTCGCTTGCGTTCGTGGGAGATTGGCAGGAAGCATGTGCTGTAAGTGTGCAAACGCAGGCGCAGCAGTTTTTGAGAATCATTCAGCCATTGCTTTACATGTCTACTAATTTATGATTTTTGACAAATTTTACAAAGGAAAAGTGCTGAAGCAATAACGGTGTCATCTGCAATCAAACAAAAAAAAAAAACGAAAGTATGAGGAACTGACCCGTAATGTTGGCTCTGTTCCATTGGTATTTCTTGTAATAAAAGAGAATGAAGAACGCAGCTAAGCACATGAATTCACCGAAAAACATACAAGTTGCCTGAAATCTACACATGTTCACCTGTTCACATATCACACATGTTGTGCATCAATTTAGAAAAAAAGCAAAGAATGACAAGATCCCAACTAATTAGACTAATATCAAAGCATCACACTCCGAGATTTTTTAAATTCAGTCTTGATGTCAACAAAGTAGCAAAAAGAGGTGCCATTCTATGTCAAGAGTTGAATGATTTTTTTAGCTTGGCTAAAAAAAATTTTTGGCATAAAAATCTTCATGAAAACTTTCTTAGTAGTTCATTCATCATATTTTTGTGGATTAGTAGCTCGAAGCTTCTTCTATCACATATCAACTAATCAAAATTTCAATTCATCAGAAAGTGACAGTTACAGCCCCAAAATAGCTAAATGTCCAAAAGCTCAATTCTACGACTTTCGAAGCTTCGTTTTTATGCTTAATGGATGCAGAGAACAGCAACTTGGTATATGAATACAGACAAGTTTTCACTCCTTAGCGACTATCAATATTGTGATCTGCCATTTCAAAATTCTTTAACCGAGAAAACCAAATTTTCTCATAAATGAGCGTAATGAAAAAGTTGGGACCTCTCAATTCTTTGCGCATTTCTTTCGCTGCAGCATAATTTCTTCTCGAACAGATTTTATGCCCCAACTCTCACTAACGTGCTCTTTCCATCCGTACCAATTATTGGACAATAAATTGTCTGCAGCATCTCTAAGAGTCGCAAAACCGAATATTTATCATCCAACCTAATACTTCAACGCACGAAGTAAAAATTCCTACAAGAACAAATCAAGGTTTTCTTATTCTCACCAATAACGGTAAGTGATCACTATTTACCCTATTTTAGCCTTCAAGTTTTTTTCCCCAAGAAGTTTTGATTTTCGCTACATTATCGTCGTTTTCATCGTAAAAACTTTAAAAAAAATAAAGGCCGCTAAAAAATCTATAGCTCACCTGCAAAAATGGATGGTTGAACGGTACTCCCTCGGCTTTCATCCTGTCTGCCCATTTAGCACAGATGGTGTTCAGCGAGCCAGTGACCACCATCAACACCGAAATTGTCAAGGCAAACGCCCTGCCATGACCCTCGCTCATCCTAGAGTTGGGTGAAAATTATGATGGGACTGAAACAACGATTGTTTGATTTGGATGTCCTGCGAAGCAACAAAAACAAGCCGCCATAAAAAAGTCAATAAAATGCGTTATTGGGGTAACACAAACGCAGCAAGAGTTTTGGAGCTAATGTACGCCAAATTGATTTTTTTTTCCAAAGGGACAATGAATAAGCGAGCTGAGTCAGCTTTAGGAAGATCATATCTCGACATATGACATTGCCACAAACGCAAAGGTCAATTTTGTTTACGATCAGCGTTGATTGTTTATTCTCATTCCAGAAATAGTAAGTCAGAGCAAAGTGTTGCGATCCAAGGTCGATTATAGTGCGAAATGGATTAAAAATGTAACTCCGTAAACTTGGATTACGAAAATGAATAACTGGAGAACAATAAAAAACTAAGTGGACTGAACTCAAAGGATCAGACCATTTGAGATGGACGAAGTCCACACAATCTGATAAGAAGCATTGTCACGAAAGTGATAACGATGAGTTGGGCAAATCCAGGCACGAGATAAGAACGTTTGGATAATGAATTTCTCAGTAAATTATTCCTGAAGCGAGTGCACCGATTCAAGTATGAGTGGAATTGTGTGATCACCAAAATAAAAAACTACTGTTCCTATCTTCTGCGTAGCGGTTTGCTTCGAGCACCACAGCAAATATTTGAGCGAAAGGTGAAAGAAACTGCTAGTTCAAAGACTATCACAATTTGCTATCTTTGAATCGATGAGTGACCTGATTTTTTATGCGGCATAGGACGTCAAATCAAAGATTTAGACAAGTGAAACATTCCCAATGAATACAGTGTTGCACATACTATCACTGAAGTCAGCGTCTGCCATTAGTTTAGACCCGGGCCTACCTCACTGACGTGATCTGGCAATACCCCATTTGTCCATAACTCATCGTAAGCACATTCTAAACAAAAATAAAGCATGTTATTGATCGAATTTGTACATCTGTGCATTCATTTGTAATCTGCAAATGTTGCATTTTAAGAGCTGGCGCAGTGCCTGATAGCGTGGCGACTGAAATCGCGTGAAGTAGGTCCGAAGCCCTTCGCAAGTAGGGAACAGAAGTTGCATGAAAGTTCTGCAGTGTTTGGCAGTGGCGTCACGGCCCGTCCACCTTAAGGCTGGGGTCATGAGCTTCTGGCAGCTCGATAGTAGGATCCATTTCAAGCCATTACCCAAATCACGGCGCCAAATATCGCTTCGGAAACTAGAAAAATGCTTCGGAATAGCGAAGAGGCATGAGGACCCAAAGTCGGCACCGCCCCTCCAGTCATGCCCGCAAATCTGCGGCACTATCCAGTCAGCGCTTCGCGGAAGCGGGAACCCCTGCGGGTCTTCCGGAACGGGGACTGTCGGAGTTCTCGCGGATTCTCGACTTCGCATTTGAAATCACGAACATGAAAGGTCGGAACGACCACACGGAAGTCGAGAATTTGGGTAGACGGTGCCTTTAATCACGATGGCGTACAGTACAGGGTCGAAATCCCAATTCTGTTCAAAGACGTTTCTGGGGGGGGGGGAGGTATCAAGCTGAGTTGAGCGTGCTGAACAAAACTCTAAAGTCAGCCTCCATGATTTTGGGTTAATAGGTCATCGGACTGGAATAGAATGGAAGTGGTTTTTCTACAAGTTGCATCCGACTATGCAGTTTTACATGATAAACAAGGAGAATGGCGAATATTCAATGAACCTTGATGCGGCAGGCATGCTTTCGGAGCGAGATTAGAGTTGTGTAAGTTTCCTATTCGTAAAGAAAGTCTGAGGTGTACAGATGACAAGAGACAAAACCGCATTTCTCTCTAGATATGTGCATTACTCGTTCACTAGAAAGTATTCAAAAATCCAATTGTGACACATCACATCCCTATCGCTATGAAATACAAGAAAAATCCTTTTTGAGGAATTTAGATGTGGGAAATATGCATATCATGTGCGGAAATACCAGCTGCCAAATTTCCATTGTCATCTGCGTACTTATCGTTCAAAGTTTCGCAAAAACAATGTTGACCAATGCTCACAAACCAGACATAAATCTGTGATCAATGGCGAGGGATGCCGCTCCGTGCCGCTTTTATTTTGGGTGTTACTCAGACAATTTTTGCGGTCACCCGCGCGCTCATGGCCGGGTGGGCGAAAACCCGTTCCGGGCCTTGCCCTGCCATGCTAGCGCGGGCCAGCGACGTTCCAGTGTGTGCAGCGACCCTGTCACCCGAACGAGCGGTCCAGCCTGTATTTCAATGTCTCCTTTGCCTTGTTGGCCCGCGCTAGCATAATAGGGCCACCCTAGGGTTGGGTTTCTGCTCGGCTGCACCTGCATGCGCAGGTCACCTCAAGGTGAATACAACCCATGTGAAATCAAAAACAGTGAAATCATTCCTGCTTCACACTACTGATCGAACTACACGAGATTATACAAAACCCCATCAACGGTCAACTCATAAGGAAACTTGTTGTCAGCCCAAATGCAAGTGTTACACTTCTAACAAGCTCCGATGGCATCCCCTTCACTGCGTCGTATCTCACGCGAGTTACCCTTGTGCTTACAACGTGCATTAATTTGTATGGATGAGCGGGTCGCTGTTGATTTCAGCATGTATGTGTATGGGTGCGCGGGCCGCCAGTGAAATTTTGAGCCTATGTGGGCGTGCGGGCCACCGTCAACATGGCACCAACTATGTGCGCGGGTCGCCAGCTCACACCTGTGGGCCGCTGCTGGGCCTGATGCATGTAAGGCTGATATATAGGTGCCGCGGCTCAACAGCGAAGCCCAATTGGGCGACCGGGTCGCTGCAACAATTGTCTGAGTATGAACTCGTCCAAGCGACGCCGCGTAAATTTCTATCGCGAATCGCTATCGACAAAACTGGAAAAATTTCCTGAGTAATGTCTGAATGGGGTTTGAAGAAAACTAGCTAACCATCAAGTTTTGAACAATCAGTTTCCAAACGAAAGGTACATAGATATCATGACGACCAACAAGATGACAATTTTTCAAACACCTTTTCACTTCCTTAAGTTTCCCAAACTATTTAAATCATATTCTACTTGAATCAGATCGGAATCCACTTGTGTTACCGGGATTTCTAACTCAGAAACTAAGTTTTCAATAGAAACTGCGGAAAACACACGATGATATCAGTCGCCGCGCGACGGGAATGCGGCCGAGCCGTTGCGAACACATTTATTCTCAAACAGCGAGCGCGCAAATGTCTTGTTCGCTATCACTTTCTCATCGCTCTTTGCTGAGTTTCAATGCTTTCTTCAAAATCAAGTTTATTATACTCTAGCGGGCACTTGCAGGCTATGTCGGAAAAGTCTAGCGATGATTCTCAGCCTCCACCAGCCAAGAAGATGTTTGCCTTTCGGCAATCAGCATTGTCTGCGAAAGCCGATCAACTATGGAATCAGAGTGGGTTGCAGATGGCTTTGCTTTTTCATTTGACTTCCTCTGATAATGCTTATATGGGAAGTGTTTTTAGTCGAAGTGGCCTTCCTAGACGGATTCTATGCCGTTTTGTATGACAAACAGTGATCTAAATCTGTCTTCGTTATCTGCTGGGCTCCTTCTAGCGAGTTATGAGCATTTGTTGCAAATGTACGCAGATCTGTATGGAATTGATCGATACGTTCCCTCCGCCACCACACAAGTAGTGAGCGTTGAGTACAAGAAAGTATTGGTGCATAGAGTGCCCAATATCTCAATACTGGCCCATTTGAGCATTTTCTGAGTGATTTTATGTCACTTGCTCGTTCAGTTTTTCGATTCAAAAACGGTCATAACTCATGGCATAGACGCATAGCACATAACAAAGTTTGTTGGTATCAGGCTCGTGCTCTTCAATATATCGTCCAGATTCCTGTTGGGTAGCCCACTTCCTCTGAAAACACTTGTTAATCGTGCTGCTTACCCTGAAGATATGGAAGAAATGATGGTCAACACGTTAAAGGCACCGTCCACCCAAAATGGCGATTGGCGAGATTATGATGGCATACTAGTGTGGGCCGCCACACTAGTATGCCATCATAATCTCGCACTAGCACGAGAAATCCGCTCCGGAAGTAGCAAAGTAGGCGGGGCGACCATGCACGCTTTATCCCGCCTGCGCTTGCTGCAGACGTTCTCGAAGCAGGGATTTTTGGGTGTTTCGCGGGCTTTCGACTCTATATTCGAAATCAGAGCCTTCAGAAGGCCTGGAATCGACAAAAACATGGAAGTCGAGAATTGGGGGGGGGGTGCATTTAAAGGCAGCGGCTCGGCAGATTTTGCATTTCCATCTTTTTGCATGTTTTGGGCCTTCTCGATCCGTAGATCCCGAATCTGAGCTTTAAAAGAGGTGAAAAGGCTTTTTTCGGGGCGTTTTTTCAATTTCCAAAAGGCAGCTCGGACGAGAATTTCCAAAGGAAAGTCGGGAGGCCCTGGCACGAAGATCCTGCTGCCTGTAATTTTGGCTTTGTATAGCATGCACAATGCGGGAAAGCGGTTGGGGAGTCCCGCGCCGTCTAGCGGAGAATACCCGTCCGAACAAGGTGTTAGGGCGAAAGGAGGAAGGGGAGCGGCGCTTGGGCCGCCCCCCCCCCCCACCCCGGCTTGCAGAGTTCACATTTTCGGCACGGAGTTGCTGTTTTGGTTCACTTGGAGGGCCTCCTATCCATCTGTGTGAAAATCTGAGGTAGGTCAATTTGCCGAGCCGCTGTCTTTAAAGGGTCCACTCAAAATTTTGCCTCCCATGTTTTTGCCATTCCGGGGCCTTTCCTTGGTCCTGATTATATGAATTTCAGATAGTCCAACCGCCCCTCCCAAAAACCACGATTCCTGAGGACCTTTTCTTGAGGGCGTGGACGGCTTTCAGTGCATGGGTGGGCGGAGTTTGATATTATCTGGGCGGGGCTTGACAGCACTTTGGTTCTTCCAGACCTCTTATCTCCTCAGAGACAACATTAGTGGACCGAACCAACGCAGATGCCCAACATTCAAGATCGACACTAATCGGAGGGGGTTAGATTTAGCCTGGACACCTTTGACAAGTGAACCATTTTTGGAGAAACTTCCACTATGGCCAGGAGTGTTTGATCCACTTAACCCGCTTGATCCATTTCACCTACTTCGCTATTGGTCAGTTCATTGACCAATAGCGATGTGGATGGAGTGGATGAACTGGATCAAGTACGGCGTGTGCGTAACGTTCCTCGCGCATTTGGCGCGTGCATGCATGCGTATGCACGAACCACTGGGAGTCATTTTGGAATCAGGGACACGAGAAGACCCTAGGACGACAAAAAGCTGGAGGTCGAGAATCTGGGTGGACGGTGCCTCTGAAAAAGGACTGGATGCCTAAATTTGCGGCTGTAAACTCCTGAACAGCTACCCGATGCCTTGTGTTCTGCATAATAAACAGGCAACCGATATTATTAATTGTATATAACTTACAGAACTTTTCATTTATACCCAGAAGCGTGCATATGTATGATCGTCTCCGCGATTCGTGTAGAGACGGGTTAGGGACTTTCCCTGATTTTAAGGATGAACTTGTTGAATTTCCACGTCATAGCATTGTTTTCGTATCTACCATCCTTGTTATCAAAAACCCTCGTACTGAGTTGGCAAAACCCCGCCTCTACACGAATCGTGGAGTCGATGATAGATATGTATGCATAAAAATGCTAAACCGGAGTCAGGAGTGCATACACGCGTATTCACACGGTCGTCAACGTGTTATTGGCTAGAGGAGTGGCACTGAAATCACATATGTGGTGTAAAAGGGATCCCTAATAAACTAGAATGCGATACGTTTTCATACGTTCGAAGCTTTCTGCAGTGTTTGAGTTCTTAGTGCTTTTTGGTGCAAACTAGATTATCTTCAATTTGCGCAGATTGAGATTTACGTTATCTTTTTTCGTTTCGATTTGTGCACTTACCCCTAATACAGTAGAAACGCGTGGTTCTCTTTTTATTACAAATCAAAATCATCGATCTAACGGGTTACTATTTTTAAAAATGGTGGAATTTTCGAGTACCTGGTTCTGTCCTTTGGCCTCAATCAAAAAGTGCGAAAGTACGTTTTCGGAGAAGAGTACATCTGCGCCACTGATTATATCAATAATCTATAGCTCAGATCTAAGCTTTCTGAGGCAGTGAGCGGTGATATCTACAGCTGCTTTGCAGGCGATAATGGACGTTATGTCGCCGACAAGCTATCGCGGGACATCTACCCCCGAATCATGCATTTGACCTCTATATTAGCGGTCAAACTACCGTTTGAATTTCAAGCATGTATTAGGTTGAAAAGCTCTGTCGCTTCGAATTGGAAAGTTTCGTAAATGCTTCCTATGTGAATAGAGCTTGCAATAAGTGATAATCGCCGACTTTTCAATAATATCCTTGCGGCTCTTTGATGACAAGGGATTTCAGAGATAAAAATTCGATTAGTAGAACCACTCAAATCTCGATATTCTTGGATTAAATTGTCAAAAATCTGAAACGCTGCAAAAACTGCAATCAAGTTCACTATCCTATGTAAGTTGCTCTATGTAACGGTGCAAAGGTTCTGTTGATCGAGATTTTCCATGAAAAATAATGATTTTCGAGAGGAATGCAGAAACATGCAAAAAATTTTTCTGCCGCGTTTTGCATTTTCCTCGAAAATCATAACTTTGCAAAGAAAAGCTGGATGAACACAAATTTTGCGAAGATGGAAAAATCAACAGAAACTTTGCATTATTAGAAAGAGCAGCTTGCAGAACTTGTTATGAGAATGTTTTCAATTTTTTTTGCAGTGTTTCAGGTTTTTGTTATTTAATTAGAATATCGAGAGATAGAGTGACTCTCCTATCGAATGCTTATCCCCGGAGTCCAATGTTGCCAAAAAGCCGAGAAGATGTTGTTAGAAAGTAGACGATTATTCCTTTTCTGGTACAATTTATTGTAAGCAAGTACGTTACTGCTCCCACAGTCAACTATAGGTTTACTGTGGGAGCAGTAGCGATTATCAGTTTTGAAGTGACGGAAACTTCGGTTCAACCTAACAGATTTCGGGCACTACACAAACTCCCACCAGGTGTCGGTGCAGGCGGCGAGATTATAAGCAACATAACGTCCTCTACCACTCTTCCCTTGTAACATTTGTGTTCGGCCGAAAAGTTACAACCAAGGCTTTTCATAGATGTCACAAAGTTGGGCGCGCATTAAAACAGGCTTGAAGGCACCTTAAGAAAGTTTCCACATTGCAAGTATCGTAGTGATTAACATCACCTTAATGATTAAATTCTTTAGGGAAATCAGGCTTTGGTTTTGGCGTCACCCCGTCTACACATGTACAGTTAGAGAAGAAATCGTTGGATGATGTTCTTGGACGAATGGCTGCGGAGAAGAAGCAACGTGAAGAGAGAGAAGGAAAAGGCCAACCACTATTTGTCTTTGGATCAAAAATATCTGACAGGGTTGTCAAGGTTTGTTTCTTCAGCAGATGTTTGTATGTTGTAATCACTTGCTACCATTGTTCAGTATATTTGATTATCTATTTTGAGAGTTACTGTTTTCCAATTATCTGAGTTCCAATTTTGAGGAGAATCCATCGGCATCTTCCAATGGGAAGGCAGCTGAAGGAGATTCTGAAGATAAACCTAGGACTGCTGAAGAATTGTTCAAAAATGCTGCTCAACAAGATTACCCGGTAGGGAAATCGTGTTTTTTGCACTTTTATCGCTTGAGCAGTGTGTTCGATCATTTTCGATGTAAGCGCTCAGAATCATAAAATACCCTGGGCAGTTTCGATTTTTCTCATATTTTCCATTTATGAAACAGTACAAAAATCCACATTTTTTAACACTGTCTCAACATCTTTATCAACATTAGTGTTCACAATCTATGATAATGGTATGCCATCATCGCATAGTAATGAGTATATTTGTTATCTTTTTCCAAAAAATTATCCTAGGAAAACATTCAGCAAGAACGACATGATTTCATTGCTGAAGCCAAGGAGGCGGCGGAAAAGAAGAAAGAGCATGACAAGCCTAGCACAAGCGTAGTTGCAGTCATGACTGGGGAGGAGAACGACATTAATATATTTCAGGTATGCTATCGTCTTCACTGTTTATATTCTTGGGTTTTTATTATGATTATTTTGACCCTGATTCATTCATTTGCAGACTGCTTGCAAATTACATTCATTTGATAAAGATAAGAAGACATGGGTAGAGAAAGGACTCTCTCAAATTCGCATTAACCAAAGAAATGAAGATGGAGAGGTGCACCATCGCATTGGTAAGTTTAGTTAGTCATTATGTCAGATTACATATCAAAGTCGAGCCAGTACTTGCTGTTTTTCAGTAGCGCGAACTACGGGTAATCATCGAGTTGTGATCAACTCCAGAATTCACGCTGATATGCTTTTCGATCGAGTCGATTCAAAGCGGTTGAAAATCAGCGCTACAACGCCGGATTCGAATGGAATGCAGATATTTTTAGTTACCATTGGTTTTTCTGTAAGTATTTTTCCGATTTATAGTTTCGTTTCATCATAATTGTTCAGAAAACTGCTTTGAATAGCGATGAATTTTGCACTATTTTGGAAGGTTTAATCAAGAAAGAAAAAGCCAACGAGACTTCACGAAAGAGAAAGGTTGGTAGTATTAGCAACAAATTTATGATTTTTCTAATTTTGTGATTTTGATGAAAATTGTTAGCTTATTTGTAAAGAGATCGTATGGCTTTTTATGCAACAGTATCTCCCAGTCAGTTATGGTTTTATCAAGTAATAGGACTCTTCCTTTCATCATCTTTTCCTCTCTTCCCATCCTGAACTTGGCGGGAGTCTAGCAATTGTTACCCAAAGCCTCCAACGGGGGAGGACCATCACAAGCAGCCTGTCTAAGTAAGCACCATCATCGCCTCCTGTCCCTTTTACATAGCCTCGCACCTATTCGCGTTGTGAAAAATCTCCTTGGACTTCGTTCATCAAAAACTTACACCCAGCATGTTAGAAATATACAGTTTGTCACCATGCACAAAATCTGCACAAAATGATTTGATGCTACTTTAGAACTTCCCGAGTTTTGCGCACCCAACAATTTTGTATCACGAAATTGACGTTGTGATAAATTAATTCACTGATGCACTAGCAACATAGATTTCCGGCCTTCAAAAATTTTCATGCCATTGTTGCTAGATCTCAGTCTATGGCTGTTGGGCCTGCTAATTGGCATTTTGACATTTTGTCCTTTTAGGCGAGCGAGGAACATGATGCTGATAAAGTTTCCAAGATGAAAATAAAGGAAAAAGAAGAGCCAAAAAGTGAAGAAGGTGCAGACAAAAGCTTGAAAGGGAACAGTTCTTCCACTGCGGAGGGCAATACAGAAACCGAAGAGAAGCCAGTTCAAGAAGACCCATCAACAGGCGGTACTGAAGCTGAGGAGCACAAAGAGTCTCCTGAAGTGAAAGAACGACCGGAGATTACAGAAGAAACCTCAGCGCCTTCAGGATAACGTGGAAGTCTTTTTCAACAGTTATATTTTACCAGTTTCACAGTCAACTCGTCAATCTCTTGCAAGATGTTTCTCACTGCATATCCATAGCATTTTTTGATATAATTATTGTGATTGACTTGCCTAGACAGCAAAGTGGGTATTTTGTCACATAACGTTTTGGAAATTTTGGGCGTCTTCCATCGTTCACGCTTTGTTCTCGGCATGCATTACTTTGCAAAAACGTCTTGCTTCTTGAAAGCTTATGGCTGTACAGGAGGCTTTAGCCGGTGATACTAAATGTTTCGTATACATTTGGCTCAGTTGATCTCGTTAGGTGAGTCTGCGAAGTCAAATATTGTTCAATTTTTTATGTTTTATATTGAAATAAAGTTGTTATGTTTTTTCAAGTAAGGTACAAATGTACGAACATGTAAGACGAATGATGTTTCCATTACGAAGACGTTCCTCATCACTTACTGTTTATCGCCGGATATTTTTACGATCACCGCCTTTGTTAGAGTGAATACGAATCCTTAAAGGCAGTGTCCGGGCAAAAAGTCGATTTTGAGATTTTGTGCTTACCTGGGCCTCTTCGCTACGCTGAATCCGAAAATGCACATTGTTGAGCGCGAAAATGGCGAAAAACGGCTCTAACACGGGAGGGAAATGAGCAGGTGGGCGGAGTCCTACCCACTGCGAATTCACGTTACCGGCTTTCGGAGCGAACCTCTCGCTTCCGGTTTCAAGTCAATCGTTCGCACTTGACCAGTAGCGATGTTAGGACGGCTAGCGGAATCGAGAAAATCGCTCCGGGAGCTGGGAGCGTGAAATCGCACTGGGGAAAGCCCCGCCCACCTGCTGATTTCCCTCCTGTGTTAGAGCCCTTTTTCGCCGTTTTCGCGCTTTCCAATGTGGATTTTCGAATTCAGCATGGCGAATAGGCCCTTATAAGCACAAAATCTCAAAATCGAGTTTTTGCCCGGACACTGCCTTTAAAGGCAGCGTCCAGGCAGATTCTCGACTTCTATATTTTTATGTTATCCAGGCCTTTCCATGGCGCTGATTCCGAATATGGAACTCAAAAAGCGTGAATTTCTCAGAAAACCACCTTTTGGGGCTATTTTGGGGAAACCCGGACGAGTGCTTCTGATGTTATCCTTGTCGAAAGTAAGTATTAACAGGTAAGCGCTGTAAGTTCGACTGTGTTGGTCATGTGAAAACGCGTCAAGGCTGAGGAGTTTTCGTTCATAAGGGGTTGGCCGTCCGAGGGAAGTGGTCGTCGAGCTCGGATCTGCCTGGACGCTGCCTTTAAAGGCAGTGGCTCGGAAAAATTGCGAGTGCGGGCTTTCTACGACTACATCGCCTTCTGGACCAGCTCAGTCCGGTGCTTCGCTTGAAAAGTCAAAAAAATGCTTTTTTGGCTTTTCAAGCGTCTCCGGGTCTTGGAGATTGCTGGGGAGGCGGGGCGACGGATTCACCCCAAAATGAGCAACCGGCTGCAGGATGCTGTAACTCCACCTATTTTAGCGGCAAACAGTATCGCGATGCTGCCTAGGCTGATCAGTCAATTGCCGCCAAAATAAGTGGAGTTACAGTCTCTAGCAGCCAGTTGCTCCTTTTGGGGTGAATTGCTCGCCCCAACCCCCCCCCCCCTCCAGCAATCTCCAAGGCCCGGAAACGCCAAAAAAGCACTTTTTTGACCTTTCAAGGCGCAGTACCGGACTCAACTGGTCCAGAAGGCCAAGTCCCGAGCCACTGAGTTCAAAGGCAGTGTCCAAGCAAAAAGTCGATTTCGAGATTTTGTGCTTACATGGGTCTATATGCTATGCTGAATCCGAATATCAACACTGGAGAGCGCGAAAATGGCAAAAAGGCTCTAATGGAGGAGGTAAATTGCAGTTGGGCGGGGATGTTCACATAGTGGCGTCATTCTCCCAGCTTCAGGAGCGATCTTCTAGCTTCCGCTAGTCGCCCTTACATCACAACCAGCCAACTGCGAAACGCATGACATAAAATCGGAACCGAGAAGATCGCTCCTGAAGCCTGAGAGAGTGACGTCACGGTGTGAACGGCTGCGCCAACCTGCGACCTCCCTCCAGCTTTAGGGCCTTTTTTGGCGTTTTCGCGCCCTCTACGGTTTATCGAATTCAGCATGGCGAATAAGCCCGGGTAAGCACAAAATCTCAAAATCGACTTTTTGCTTGGACACTGCCTTTAATGTAAGTTAAAATATAGCAATAAATAAGGATCACGAATAGATGAAAACAGCAAAATTTTGTCGTAATATCGTAGGTGCAAAATCAAAAATATTGCAGTTTTGTCTTAGCTGATATTGCATATAGCTGTATCTTATGTAGCGTTTGAGACTGAAAAGTATCTGACGTCCTCACAAGAAGCAAAATCTTATTGTTAGTTGCGATTGCAGCACATTCTGTTAATCACGAACTGTAATTAATTCGAGTCCTTCATTGCTGGGCTTCAGGAAGTGTGCAGTAATTTTTTATTTCCAGTAGACTCTTTCTGCTTAGGGGCTACCCGACATGCATAATGTATGACATTGACTCCATTGAAATCGTCGGTACAAAGATGTAAAACTATGAAAACAACCGAAGAAAAATCAGGGGATTCGATAAACTCTTCGAGAAATTGAGAAAAACTTGATGCTATCAGAAAACATGAGTAGTTGATGAAAAGTCGCGAATCCTAGCTAAGAAAATCAGCGAGACCAAATTCATCACTCAAAAGCATTTTGTGACATAAGTTTTTTATATTTTTTCATGTTCTCAAGAAAAAAAGTAGTCTGAGAGCAAATTTTTACCGGCTACAACAAAAACCCAACGACAAGGTTCGAAACCACCTAGGTCTTTGTTACAAGATGGTAATCCGATTGGGAATAAATTTGGAGATCCTAAAATCTGTGTTGTGCTTGCACCGCGCTTGCTACCCTATTTGACTCTGCTTTGCTCATTTCTAGACTAATAATGGGGAATATGTTGCTCCAGAAGAAAAAACAACTACTAGAAGCTTCCACCTCGGCGAACATAAATTTTGGAAAGAGAACATGAAAATAGCCATAGGTGTGATTCGACTTAAAGACATACAGATTTATATATGTTTTTGAAGAGAATACAATAAATTAAGCAAATCAAGGACTGGATGGTTGGGTAGTGGGCTCGGAGATGTACTCTATGCATCATCAGGGCCCTCTTCTTTGCATGTATATGTTCTCAGTGCTTTCTTACTCTCTCTTGAAAACTCGTCCCATTTTCTCATCAAGCCACATGAAGTTATTAGCAGACTGCCGTCATTAAGAATTTTTCCTGAAATTCTACGCTAGGATAAGTATTTAATATTCATTAGTATTTTTGAATTATGACAAGAGAACGCTAGAATCAGTTTTCAAATCTGGTTTATTCTTACCTCCCAAGAGATATTCCTCTTCAACATCAAGTTCGACTCCACAAGCTGGCAACTCAGACGGAGAAGTAATCGTCATTGGAAGTTGGAACATGTCCTCCGGCTTCTGAATGAAGCGTTTTTACTCCTTTTCATAGTATACTGGGGTCTCTAAAGTAGGTATGGACTATTCTTAAAATCGTGGCGATGGGTTTGACTGCGGTGTTTGCGCATACAGGAGCATGAAACACCCATACAAAAGCGCATCACCTCAACGCTCTGCTTAGTCACTTCCAGTAGCTGTATACTATCATATGTAAAGCGAAAGAACCATTCGAGTAGAGAAAAATCAGGAAAATGCGGTTGCTGGGAGTGGTGCGTGCGTGTCGCGCGCGGTCGCGCCGTCGTCACGATTTCTCGAATGCCCTATACACTGGTTTGAACGTCGACATGTCTCTGCACTTGATGGAGTTTAGGTACCATTTTGTAGTGCTCGTTTTGACTTAGCTTCACAGCATGGAGCGAATCATCGATCTCATACTGTATCAGCATAGAAATTTTTCCTTAAGTGCCATTGTAAAAAAGGCTGTTCGGATTTAAAAAAGCTGGGAAGCTGTGAGGGGTTATGCATGCTGAAACCAGACACCTTTTGACAAGTTTGAAGTTCTTCAAATGGTGCAGTCACATTTTGAGGAACACAAAAGCAACCGTTACATCATACCAACATAGATAGCTCATAGCATTACCGTAAGTTGCAAAAATTAGGACGGCGATTTCGACCAACCTAGAAGTTATAGTTCTCGGCTTATTTGGTATCCATTTTGAAACAAGATGTGGTAAGTGATGGGAAACTTTGTTCAATGCTCCTATTGTAATCTCACAGTACTAATGAAGAGCAGTCGATGATTACCGTACTTCAAATCTAACGGAGTGAATTACTTGGTGGCCGTGGTCTTTCATGTGACATATGTCATGGAATTCACCTTCAAACGCTGATCTCAAAACCGTATTCGTCATCTCAAGAACGATATTTCGGGCTAAAGGTCTATGGTCTAGTGGTCAGCCTTGGCCCCTTTGATCTCGGTCAGTGCAAATACTTTTGTGTTAGCTTTTACAAGCGTTGATTATTTTCGGAAAAGCGTTCTGCAGCTAACGAAGATAGTTCCGAGATCAACGTTTCAAGGCAAGCATTTTGATGACATAGTATAACAAATATAACATATTCTTAAAGGCCACGCCACCAGATGTCTTTCTTTTGTAAGTTGGAGCCAGCTCTACAGAATGGTATTTATAGGTCGGCGAGACTTTACGGGAAGAAGAATATCTCATTGTCAGATCAAACAATGCGTGCATAGTTTTGAGACACCCTATAGAACTCAGAGCATAAGGGTAGTGGGAATAGTATAGCTGTGTTAACAGTCATGAGTTTAATCTAACTGGTCCAGCACTTGCATTCTTATAGAAATCCAATCGCCAGTAGTAAAAGTTTATGAACCTATTATGTCCGTCTGTGAAAAATTAGTGCGAATCAAATCATTAGCACGTTGACGACCGAGCCATTTTGGACCACATCAAAATGGAGTAGATACCTAAATTCCCGGTTCAGACTCCTGAACAGCTAACGCGATGCCATGTGTTCTGTAAGATGATCAGACCACCAATGTTATTACTGCATGGAAGTTTCCTTGGACCTTCTTGTTTACATGGAAAACTGATGCACGATGGCGTTAAACGGGAGTCATAACGTGCATGCGCGCGTATTCACACAGCCGTCAATTTGTTGAAGGTAGTATCCTGACAAAAAGTCGATTTTAAGATTTTGAAGTCACTCTCCCTCCTTCCGAAGCGATCATCTCGCTTCTACTAACCGCCTTAACATCACCACCAAGTGCGGCCAAGTGACTTGAAACTGGAATTGAAAGATCTCTCCTGAAGCTGCGAGAGTGATTTCACAGAGTGGAAGGCCCCGCCCACCTGCTGATTTTTCTCCTGCAGAACCCTTTTTCGCCGTTTTTGCGTTCTCCAATGTGGATTTTATTCATAGTGAATAGACCCAGGTAAGCACAAAATCTCGAAATCGACTTCTTGCCCGGACACCGTCTATATAAGAAGTATAAGAAGGGAGCGTTGCTATTGACTTATTGCTTTTTGCTTTAGAAGTATGTTCACTTATCTTTGTAACAAATTGCACCTAGCTCAAAATTTGCAAAAAGCGATGTGGTCGATATTTACATCTTTTCAAACGAATGTTACTTTCGTTGTGTTCGCTTACCCGCATACAACTTCCACCTACATAGCTTGTTCTTTGCAGAAATGACAAAATTGATAAACAAAAGTAGTCTATGGCACCCGCCCCGCTTCAGTGTTAATTCTTGAAGTTGATTCGGTTCTTCATAGAATTTTCACAGCTATCCTGACCCTGTAGACAGCCATGTGTTCCACGATGTAGTTGATGGACGTTCCATCATCGCTATAGGATTTGCTAGCAACTTTTGCGTGAGTCACTGCAATACGAAATACCCTTTTGTAATAAGCAAACAGGTTTTCCAAATGTAAAATCTCTGCTTGCCATAATCAGATAAGCAAAATGCCTCATGCAGATTGCCCAGGAAGGCACAGGAGCACGCGTAGGTGGTTGCAGCGCAGGCAAGTAACAGCGCAGATCTCCTCATCTGTGTAGTTATAATTTGCCTCTAAAAAATACACTTTATCTTCCATCCGCAACGTGGCATATTGTTAGGATTTTTTTCCAGAGAAATGTTCATAGTGATCAAAAGCATGCGGAGTTTATCTAAATTCTATGTGTGAATCTGACTGTAAGGCCTCGGACAGGGCTCACGCGATTTGATCGCAGCGATTCAATCGCGACGAGACAACTGTTACGAGTTCATTGCATGCCGACCAGCTTGCGTTTCGGTTGTGATTTCCAGCCCGGAATTTTTTGAATGTAAAATGAAAATGAATGGAAATCGCGGCGATTGAATCGCGACGACCAAATCGCGTGGACTCTGTCCGAGGCTTAAGGGAGAATAGCTGTAATACGGTTGTTTACAGAAGAGGACGTCACAGCCGGAGAAGATGAGATCGAGCTGATACGGCGCAGGCAACTTAAAGGCAGTGTCCGGGCAAAAAGTCGATTTTGAGATTTTGTGCTTACCCGGTCCTATTCGCTATGCTAAATCCGAAAATCCACATTAGAAAGCGCGAAAACGGCGAAAAAGAACTTCAGCGCAGGAGGCAAATCAGAAGTGGGCGGGGTCTTCCCCACTGCGGATTCACGCTCCAAGCTTCCGGAGCGATCTTCTCGGTCCCGATTTCAAGTCATGCGCTTGCACCTGGCCTGTGGAGATCCCAGAGAGCTAGCGGAGTTGAGAAAATCGCTTCAGAAGCCGGGACCGCGAAATTCACAGTGGGGAAGACCCCGCCCACTTCTGATTTCCCTCCTACGTTAGAGCCCTTTTTCGCCGTTTTCGCGCTCTCTAATGCGCATTTTCGGATTCAGCATAGCGAATAGGCCGGGTAAGCACAAAATCTCAAAATCGAGTCTTTGCCCGGACACTGCCTTTAAGGAGGCGAGGGGAAGCAAGCGAGAGGACGCCACCATCGCCACCATCATCTCCCTTACAGTCGACCACTGCTGCTCATTATCCCGATTTCATCACTTTTTGCAACAATAAACCCGTCTTTCTATTACTCGTTTATTCTTCTAATAAACAATTATACTTCACCATGTTCTGTTGCGGCAAGTGAGGGCCATATCATTACTTCTGCCTGAGCACCGTAAAGGTCATGCTATAAGTATGATCGGCTGTGATATGAGTATGTTATTGCTCAGAATTTTGTGATGCTACTTTAACACGCCTATAATCTAAGCATTCTACCAATGCACTGATACGTGCACCCGATGATATACAGCATGCTTGGTATGGCTGAGATAAGTTCTGACCATTTCCGCTTAGCACTGTTAGATTAGATAATCGGTACAACTCTGGAAAGTTTTAGCTTCTAAGAAAGAAAATCAAAAAGATGATTGGCCGCAGAGGATCATTTGGGAATCATACAAAAAGGTGGAAATTGTGGCTCGTCATTACTGGCTTTTACTGGCTGGCGTACTGGCTCCTGTTCAATACAGTGCTGGCCAAAACTATAGATCTCTAAAAACTGCCATAGTTTATCTGCTTCTCAACAAATTGGTCTGAAATTCGGTACAGCTGTGTGTTCAACAGGCTTCCATCAGTGACCGGAGCGGATCCCGTTTTCGTATGATTATTCAGGAAAAACATCAAAAATTCCGAAAAAAGCAGGCTCGAAGGTTGGCCAAAACACAATATTACTTCTTCAGCCATCGTCCGGCTGTCTTACAGTAACCCAGACTTGGCGTAAAATATGTTCGCTGCACAAGTCACGTATTCGACGTCTTTTTTTTCCGACGGCGTCACCTAGACAAGTGTTGCGCGATTTTCTGGTGAGAAAACTAGTCTCGAATGATCCTTGACTTTGTGCGTATCACTCTGGTCGTCAGACTCGATGGAAGCAATGTGCAGTATGCTGACAAGGAGAATAGTTGGTGACCGTGGCCATATATGAGGAAATGTCAATTGCGCCTTTGTGTAGATTCAAAATCCACTTCGCTTATCTGCGAAACTCTTCTCTCAATGAAGTTACACCTTTTTCAACAGTAAGTATACACTGATGAGGGTCGGCATAATCAATATATCTTAAGGTCTTTCTTTTTTACACAAAGTCGCGTCTAGCGGAATGTTGAGCATAGATTCGTAATCAGGTTCAAAGAAGCGTCCTATGAGCATTCTATGGTCACAGTCACCAAGTACTCTATTCAAGTGAAAAAGCGATGTCAGACTTGACTAACCTAAAGGTTCCATTGGTTCCACGAAAATTCTATCACACCACCGGTATACAGTTCGACGAAATGCTAAAGTGTTTGCTCATATGTAGTCATTATTCGTTTGGATGATACTGTAACTAATAGTTGCAGGAAAAGATAAGCACTATTGATATTGATATGACATTACATATAGCCATAGTCAAAAATAACTACGTTTTCGCTTCTTCGCATAAAAACATTCAGAATGTTTCTTTTGATAGAAACAGTGGTAACACAATGTTGGATATCGGAACTTTGCGTACTAGCGAGTCAAATAGGCCTCTAAAGGACGAAGCTTATGATTTGTTTGTTTTTATTTCAGAGGTTTATCATCATATGTGCTCAATAACGCATCTGTTTCATATCTTCAAATCACTCATGAAAACCATGACCATTGTGCAGTGCACAGTTATCCTTCTTTGGTGATCTTTTTGCAGTTCTGTCATGTAGGTTGAACGTTTTCTACTAGTGAGCGTTTCACAGAATGTGGTTCACTGAGCCTATGGTGCTGAGCAAAAGGCGTGGAGCTGAATTCCCCTAATTATCTGAAGTTCACATTACTGTGGGAATACAGCAAACATTTGCTGGTGTTCGTAGAAGAGGCTTTCTCATCCGATGACTTCTTGTTTCTTGTTTAAATGTACGTTCTCATCGTACTGGGTTGGACGGAAAAACTGGAAATTATTAGGGTAAGTTTCAAAAGCACGAATCTTGTATCGAATCGAAAGCTTCTTGTACAACAACCTCGCCATTACCTCCTCTCAACAAAAGGGTACTCCAGAACAAAATCCACCTTCAAGTCAGCTGAAGTTCATACCGAACAAATCCCATGCAGGGGTAAACATATTATGCACATGCATACAATACGTAGATATGTAATGTACGACAGCGGACGTCATGAAATTCAAAAAAAAAGAACTATTCAGGAAATGTTTCAAGACATGTCATTCGGAGAGCTAATCAAAGGCCTTCGACTAATTCTGTTCTAAACAAAACCTCGTGCGTGCAAATGTGATCAAACATTAGAATCCCCCTTAAAAAGCGCTTTCACACACTTTCTTGGTCTTGAAAGTCATCATTGCAGCAGCTTCATGCTTGCCGGTTGAATAGCCAAGGACGACAGCTCTGAGGCCTTAATCCTGTGATTCCTGCAATTCCTGCGATTCCTGTGAGTGAAGTTCGTAAAACGCACCGTAGTGCGGCACATCGCAAGTCAAGGAAACACAGGAATTGATGACTTACAGAAATCGCGGGCATCATTCCCTGGAATAGTGTGGGTATCCCTTGAAGGGAGGCGTCGAATGCGTGACTTGTGCAGTGAACATATTTTACGCCAAGTTTGGGTTACTGTAAGACAGCCGGACGATGGCTGAAGAAGTAATATTGTGGCCAAAACTATAGATCCACCTAAAATTTCTGTCTGCTAAAGTAATTCTCGACTTCCAAAGTCTTTTGGGCATATACATAGTCGAGGGCCAAAGCAGTGGCTTTAGTCCAGCTTACCATACCTTCATAAGAAACGCTTATCTGCTTTTTTTCACTCAAAAATTCTTTCATGCGTATTCTGTTCCCGAGAATATATAGAGAATTATAGAGGATTCCGCACTTTTTTGACTGGTTTGAAAGTGATAGGGCCCCATTTACCTTATAGATGCAGAAGTGTGAGCAGTAGAAAAATATTCGTGTTTTCGTATCCAAAGCGCACCCGACATAGATTTAACCGCAGGCCTGCGCTCGAATTTTTGCCTTCAAACTCTTTCTGCAATGTTGTCATGAGCGTGAACTGGAGTAATGACATTGTTAGTATGTATGAGAGTAGGTATGCAGTGTTGCAGATTTATGCAGATTCTAGTATGCAGGCTAATTGGGGACTTCATCCTGGAAAAAGTGATTTGCTACAAGCCTTGAAGTAATTTCTGGTTCTGACTGACCATAAAGCTTATGTGAGTCACAAGGCAACATACAATACAGAGTTTATTCACTAGTTAGCAGCTAAATAGTGGCAAAATTTAGGGAAATTATCATTTGGTAAGTACTTTGAGATTGCCGAACACACCGCAAGACTTATGCTTTAAAAAATGCGACTTCGCGAACAATCGTGACTATCGTTTACAAATTTTTTATGTAAATAATGCTAAATAATGATTCTACATTATTACTTACTTAGATACTTAGATGGCCCGGCTTCACGTGACGTGCGGGCCCCAGCTCAGAAGTTTCTATTTCTCCCTGTCCCTCGCTTCAGACATCCACGATCTTCTTGGCTGACGTCGGTGGCTACGTCCACGAGTTCCAGGGGCGAAAGTCGTATCCAGCTGATTTCTCAGCTGGTCCATCCGTTCCACGAACACGTCTGCCCATCTCGTTGGAGGTCTTCCTCGGGGACGTTTGGCTTCGCGAGGAATCCACTCCGATGTTCTTAGTGTCCATCTGTCGTCTGTTCTTCTCATTATGTGACCGGCCCATCGGTGTTTGGCTTTCGCGACGTATTCCGCTGGGTCACGAAGACGGGACATTCTTCTCATATCCGTGCTGCGAAGTCCGACTAGATGTTGCTTGCGTCAGGTCATCTTCAGAAGACTGCGCTCGAGCGCTCTGTGGGTGGTCCGTAGAGCTTTCGACGTGGCTACAGTGTCGGCCCAAGTCTCAGCTGCGTAACAGAGCGCCGGGAGAACGGTTGAGTCGAACAGGTGGGCACGAAGCTCCGGGTCCGTCAGTTGGTCGGTGGCTTCCTTCAGAGGCCCGAAGGCGGCTCAGGCTGCTCTTCTTCTCCTGTTAAGTTCTTCC